TTATAAGAACCCTTGGATTACATTTGACACACTTGCATAATACAGAATATTCTCTCCATCTCAAGGTTTTTCACTTAATCATATCTGCAAATTCCTTTTTACCTTGCAAGGTAACATGGTCACAGGTTCTGGGGATTACAATATGCAGATCTTTGAGGGGAGGTTATTTGAACCACTACAAGTGGCCTGCAGCTTAAACTCCATTCCCTTCAGGTAAATCTGCCTCTTCTTCCTCATTACCAAAATCTATTTGGTACTGAGTTCTGATTGTTAGAGTTCCCCAGGAAGGAATACCTATAATTATAACTGGGGCAAGTGTTATGAAGGAAAAGAGGAGAGATGCTGTGAGGGCAAACAATGTCCCCAAATATGGAAACTAATTTAAATGGAAGGGCAGTTTGCATAAGAGATATTTAATCTGAGACACAAAGGATGAGGAGTTAATTATGCAATGAATAAGTGAAGTTTCAGGCAGAGGGGGTGGTATGGTGGCTTGGAAATGGTGCTGTCAGAAGTTCAGTGCAGCCAAGTTGTATCCCTACCATTAGATCCTTAGCACTACCACAATGAACAGCACATAGTAGGTGCTTAAAAATATTAGCTTAGTAGTTCTCAACCCTGGCAGCACATTACAATCACCACAGGAGCTTAAAAATACCAACCCCCATTACAATCACCACAGGAGCTTAAAAATACCAACCCCTACGCTAGTCAAGACCAAGTAAGAATAGTTTAGAAGTATGGCCCAATATCAATATTTTTCAAAGCTGCTCAGGGAATTCTAGTGTGCAGCCAGGGCTGAGATCCATTGTATTAGATACGACTAAATGAGCAAATGAATGAATAGATGACAGAAAACATTTGTTTGGGGTAGGATTTTTCTTTTGGGAGGTTTTCTTGTGTTTAAGGAAAAGAAGAGTTTTTTCTACATAAATTATATATCCAGTCTTAGAAAATGCAGAAAAGACTTTCAAATACATAATTGAATGCTTATCAGAAGAGGCCTGAAGTGATCTAGCAACCATCCCAGTGTAAGCAGTTGTCTCTGCAGAAAAGAAATATGTTCAAATGAAGAGGTACTTAAAAAACACACTGTACCTACAAAGGAAGAGGCATTTCTTCTTGTTTTTGAGCTCTCGTTATAGTCCAGAAGGCATTTTGTTTTTTGTTTTTGTTTTGTAGTACTAATGAATGACCATCAGAGGGAGACATGCTCCCGAAGGTGTTTTCCACAGGTGTTCCACCCCACATCAGCTACCACGAATCAGGTGTTTTTAAAACACTGTGGGTTCTCAAAGCATAACCATGAACACATCACAGGATATGAGACAAGTAGCATATATTTATCTACACTAGAGTTAGATTCATTTCAATTCCCCAACAGTTTAAACATTTAAACTACAGAAAAAAAAATATGAAGTGTGTCTGTGCACTAGGCATTGTATTTGCACAACTAAGGAAAAAATTTGAAAGGTAGGAGGATCATATTTTCTTCTAGAAATTAAGAATTTAAGCAAAACTTTCAGAAAAGGATCTCCGAAAAGTAAAAGTAAACATCTTAGATCTCCTTGAATTTCTGGAGTTACTAATAGTTGGACCCCTGGAAAGAAAAGCTTGGCTCCTCTTTGCAACACCCATTTGTTGTTGTTCTTTGCAGTTACCCACACGTGCCAGACCCACACAGATTTTCACACAGATATTAGACAAGATAATGTACGTGACAGATACACATACTGTGCCTAGCCGATTAACCTTCCCTTCCAAAAGTTAAGTAACTGATCTACGAGAATAACTTGCAAAGTTTTAAGCAAATGTATTGCTTTCAAAGCCTTTAAGGATGACTGATGAGAGGCTGGGTTGTCAGGGAAGCATAACTACCGTGGTACAGAACAAAGGATTTATTGAAGGCATTCCACCTCATGCAATCGCGGGAGGAGTCCATAAAGTGAAGGTTTGGAAAGGGATGTTGGGAAAAGATAAAAAGTCACAAACTGGTTGGCCTGAGGATTCGAGGAAGCCAGGCATGGCTTGGGTGCCACTGAAATGGGACCACTAAGGAAGAGCTCTTGGAGGGATCCGTGCAAGTCATTGCCTCTGTGCAGCTACTGTTTCTGTGAGTCCCCTGCCAGTGTCTGGTGGTGGGCCCGGGCTCTGCGGGTGGGCAGGCAAAAAGAAAAGCTGAATTTGGAGTGCAGAGGGACAAGGACAAACTGGAAACTGTGGACACCTTGCATTTGCATGCCACCGTATCTGATTGTGAGAAGACCTTCAGAAAGTGATGCCACTCCCTTGCTGTCTCTCAGTCCTCATGCAAGGTTCTCTTTAGGCTAATTCTAAACTGGAACCATACAGGTGAGGCCAGTTCTAACTTAGCCAAGTAGGCACGCACATGCAAAAGAAATCCAGTACACGTGTAGGCTCCTGCAACTAATTTTTCAGATGAGAAAACTAAGGGCTGTATTGTTAGGTAAC